TTAATGAAAGTTGATTCAAAATTTTCCATAAATAAATTACTGAAAAATGGGGATAGTGGTGACCCCATAGCAATTCCAAAATTTTGTTGATAAAAATTGTCATTGTATTGGAAGTAAGTTGACTTTACACACTTCACACATTTGTCAACATGCATTTGATAATTGCCATAAAATTCAATGGCATAATTCCACAATTTTAACAAAAGAACAATCCACAAAAAAGCGTAAAATTAAAGAAAGCGCACTCATTTTACTAAATCAAAATAATTGTGCTGCTTCATGTTCATTTAATTTAAGTCATACATGGTTACCTATGCTAAAATCTGAAGCAGACCAGAGAAACATACACCCAAATTAAATTTACACCAAAATTATTAATTAACATTACCTTTATTAATTTAAACAATGAGATTAAGTGAAAGTCACATAACCGACAATTTGCACAGACGAATTATCTGAGCAAATTTTCATATACTGTATTATCCTACTATTGTTACACAATTTATTAACATACTCTTTTTTAGGTTCATTTAGCTTCTTTTGATAACGATAGCAGAAAATAGCTATCGAAACGTCAAGGTAATTTTTTAAATTAATTTTTCTAATATTTGGAATTTTCTCTTACAGCTTGAGCCTAAGTGTGTCACAGGATACCCTCTAGGTGATCGTTTTTGATTAATTTTTGATAAATAATTTGTTCTTATTGCGAAATAGAAGCACTATTTATCAATCTGTAATAAAAGACGTGAGGAAATTCTGTCTTTTTTAAAAACAAAATTTTTTGAGGCAAAATACCCAAAAAGAAATCGGTAAAAAAATGAATCCGCCTCAACAATATAGAACTTATCTAAAACTAAATACTTTTGATTGACTAAAAAAAATTTGACTAAAATTGCTGAAATAATCATTGCAGCAACTAAACAAATTTTTGCTTGTTCCTAGAGAACTGCACAGTAATTCTTATAAAGGAAAAGTGATACACAATCATCAAGGCGACGCGCAACTACACACAACATATGTTCCGTTGACCGGTTACTGAAACTGCTGCAACTGGATAGAGCGCTTCTGTGCGGTTCTGTGCTGACGCGAACCACTTTTTCAGGTTTATGAGACGGTTCCAAAAACAACCTTTAAATCGGCAAACGGCTGCAGCTGGTGCGAAGTGCGCACAACTGTTTCGGTTTTATGAGACGGTTCCAAAAAAAAACCGGTTAAATGCGCTAGCTGTAACTACGGTTCAAGTTAGACGTTTGGAACACTGTTATTTTAGCGGTTACGTTAAAAACCGACCATCCCTAGTATCTACACAAATTCTTACCAGCACCACAATAATACGGGGTATTGTAAAATGACTGCCATTCCCAACCCCCATATTTTCTGGACAAAGACCGACAGGAAAACGACCGAATAACAGTTGCGGTACCGGCCCTTTTGACCGCATGTACTTTCGTCATCGGCTCTTTATTTATCTGTCGTGCCAACTCTGCGCCCTTTATGCCTTTATTTCGCTCCAATTTCAATTAAAACGGCCACGAAGACAAATTCATTTCGGTTCACTGTTAGACAGAGAGAAGGACCTGCAACTTTGGCTGGTTGTGGTTGTATTTAGGTATCGATAGGCATTCAAATAACAAATATTGCCTTTAAACGATTATTTTACTTATTATAAACTCACATGGAACTAAATCAACCGAACGTTTGATTCCAGCTATACAGTCCAGATATAAATGGAGTTGCGGTTAAGTTTCGAGAACTAATAATAGATGTATCTTAAGGGCTAAAGTCGACATAACTGACGAGCGAAGAGCAATCAACGTTTAGTATTCAGCGCAAACAGTCTTGAACAATTGCAAAATCCATATTGAGAGAGAGAACGAGCCAACTTAAGTAAACACCACAGAGTTGAAACCGTCGCTATACTTTGAACAATTAGCGTAAGCTGAGCTAAGATCCCTCAAAATGTTAATGCTGTTGATCACTTGTCTAGTCTGGGGCCAATATTTGCCTAGTCAATATAGGTAGTTTAATTTGAAGAACTATTTGAAAAGCAAAGAAAAATCTGAACGCGATCCGAAGTGGCTGATGGTTGAGAAACTGACATTTTCAAGCCGAATTCTCGTCGGTAATACGAAGCATTAATTGCTACTCTATCTGACAAAATTGCAACGTATCATGCTTCCTAGTTTAATTAATGGAGTAGCAATTAAGCCTGAATTTAACGGTATGCATTAATTAATTCCCCGTTATTAATACTAGACACAAGGGTGGATTG